AAATGCACAACATGAAAACACTGAGGACAGAAGCATCAGCTGTGACTGGAGTTATTATAATAGTCACAGGACACACACATGCTGTCTTTAGTCTGTCTCACACACTCCATCATGGCCTGGACGACCGGCTTGTGTGTAGCTGGTGTCTAGTCCTTCCCTGTACGGCTGCTGCTGTTGAACCTGTGTCCACAAAGCTCCTTCCTCCTGAAGACAACTCTCCCTGTGCCTCCTCCAGCTGCTGGTTTAATAAAAACGTGAATGATTAACAAACAACACAGCTGATGGCTCAGTGTCCTCAATCTGAAGCTCTGCTGCGGCTAAATGTTGTGTACTGAGGATTTAAGGATAAAGATATACCCTTAGTAAAGATAAGTAATTAATAATCCTAGCAATCAAAGTGACTTACGTGATTCAGATGTAACTTTTGAGGGAAGAAATAACACAATGTCCCCTCAACAGAAAACTGCCTCACTCAGTTCACTCGAGTTTTTGTTGCTACAGCCTCATTTAGGAGTTGGATTAGATCCTGATTAGCTGATGCTGCTCTCCCTGAGGTCCACACAAAATAAATATTAAATACAAATCATGACATCAGTGAAGAGAGACAAGCAAATTATCACATTAAAATATTTTCTTTTACAAATATTCAAATATAAAAAAGATTCTGGAAACGTAAACATATTCATATTTATATCTATATAGACTAAGATACATTATTTAAGCATACTTAAAAAAGTTCTGCATAAATAAAACCTTTCCAACATATTTACTTTTTCTTATTCCTGAATTTTAATATATGTATATCAATTGTTTACAAATATGTATAAAATATTTTAGCGTCATTATATATTTCAAAATTTTAGTGTCCACCATATAAAATAACAGGAACTATGTATATTTGCAGTGTGTGTGTGTGTGTGTGTGTGTGTGAGTGAGACTAATCATGATACCCGCAGTTTCCTTCACTGTCTAATAATCCAATTAATCCAATGAAACTCTGAAGTGACCTGATGGAGCGTTACAAAGAAACAATAATCTCACTCAGCTCCATACACACAGGGATTTAAATTCAGCTCATTCCAGCACAGAGGCTACATTATATGTAAACGAAGAGTTGAGCTGAGTTGCAGTGGTCAGCACTGTAGCCTCACAGCAAAAGGTTCTCGGTTCAAATCCCGCTTCAGCCGGGGTCTTTCTGTGTGGAGATGTCATGCTCTCCTCATGTGAGTTTTCTCCAGCTTCCTCCCACAGTACAAAGATGTGCAGATTGGTTTTAACTGGAGAATTGTCTTGAGGTGTGACAGGGAATAGTTGTTTGTGTATATATATGTTGCCCTCTGTGATACACTCAATGTACACACAGTCCAGTGTGTTCCAGTACCACACATCTCACTGTCTGGCTCCAGCCTTGTGACCCCCAAAGGATGAGCTGTATTGAATGGAGGGATGAATTGAAAAAACTTTTCATGCTGTTGGTTTTTATATCAAATTTGAATAAATGAAACCCTTTGTCTTTTTGTGCGGTCGAGCTACTGTAACTGCTCGACACATCACGAGTCTTCCTCGATGTGCAGCAGCAAAATGTGAACAAAAGGACATCAAGACAATTATGAAAAACTATTTTTATTCTACATTTTTATGTATTTTTTCTCAATGTACAGTTTGTAGGCTAGTTTCTGGAAACAAACAAACACTGTTCAGGAGAACATATTGATATGCATAAAAACCGAAGATCACCGTGGTTTACAGAGAGACAGGTGACTGTTTTGGCACCGGATGTTAATGTCGATGCATCACAACAAAAGTTAAAACTTTTCTACGACAGTGGAACTGTTCACAAGGCTTTGGGTCGGCCACTGTGGTACAGTATATAAAAACAGATCAAAAAATGAAAGATGATAAGAAAAGGAAATGGAATGGTCTAATTACAGTTGTGTAAACCAAGACCATTAAAAACAATCGCTTAGAAAAATAGAACGAAAACAAGCGATGGTGTTGATTACAAGTTACAGTACTTAACATGCTATTCACATTTCCCTTCATTGCAAGTTTTGTTTTTACAGATTTAGACCTTTTTTTTTCACCTTGTGTAAATTACAATGTCCAAAAAATACGCTTGGCCTTAAAAATGATGCCGTCCAATGAGAAAGAAAAAACGAATGCTACCGTGGCAGAACAGATACGCTCATTATTTTCACATGCATATGCAAATTATGCAAAGAAAAAGTCATTCTCATAAGCAATGCAGCTGCCTCGTGTAGCACATCCAGTCATTCAAGAAACACTCACACATGAGAATACAGATACAGTATTTCATTTGTGTAGAAAAAGAAGGGAAAAAAGAGGAAAAGGGGTGTTGGTGTTACCTCAGCGACACATCTCTTCCCTTTCGTGGTCTAAATCAACAGGCCGACATTTACAGGACTGATACACGTCAGGACTTAATATAAAAAGATGGGAAATGTTAACATTCAGGAAAGACTGGATGTTAAAAAAGAAAAGGAAGGAAAACAAACCATGTCTGATATTCACGTACTTCTCGTTTAGAAAACCAAAACTGATGCATTTGAATACGAGGACATGACAGTGACTCTGCGCCAGGTTCAACTGCCCAAATAACTACTTCTCACAGGAGAAATAGCAGAGATCATATTTTTCCCTAAGTTGAAGTAGGCAGGGGTTGGGATGAAGGTGATTTCACATGCTTTCTTGCACCAATCAGGACTCAGCATCATTTAAATCTAAATGTGGTGACAGCTGTTTGGTCACTTGCCAAGTTTCCATCGCCACTGAGGTCAAATTTAAACCGCGCTCCAAAAGAAAATGTGAATTCTTCTAAGTTTGCATCCACCACTATTCACTCCTCACTGAGCTTGAGAATAGTCTGCAGGGCGTCATTAAACCTCTCCAGCAGAATTTCTGCAGCCGCAATTACAAGCGCAGAGGTCAAACATGACATGAATGAAAGCTTTGTGGAAAATGTGATGGAAAAACAACATTTGTGCTTGTGTCATGTATGCATCTCAAACACGTCTCCTCATTGCTCCACACAGAGGATTTTATCTGCTGCTTTTTTTTCTTTTCTTTGTTTGAGTCACTTGTTCATTCTACTTTATTTCCTATGTCTGCTTGCATCTCACTTTGTTGCACTTGTTTTTTGTTAAACATCAACTACGATACATCACCTCTGCCTCCTCAGGTAAGTGTAGAAACATTTCTATGCAGATTAAAAATGTACAAACACTGTCACTGAAATCAAACTACACAGTCTTGATGAAGTTGGTAAACTGTTGTGGACAGTTTAACTTTTAATAAAGAATACCTAACCCTTTTTATAAACTTTGATATTGCTTATTCATTCATTACAACGTAGTATTAGGAGCATTTAAAGGGATACAAATCTGAGATTTGTGAATAAAGTCGTAATAATGCGGGAAAAATTCTAATTTAGAAGCGTGTCATGTAAGAGGGGGAAAGTAAGAAGATCAGCCTGTCGCCTAAGTTAAAAAGAGGACTGTGGAATATCTTGTTACATAATACTTCAAATAACAAAATACTTTGACTCATCTGCACCACTTTATCATAAGTATCAGGAATTTGACAAGATAGTGAGAAACTAAATCTACTCTGAAGAAAGAAACACAGAGACTTGGAGGAAATTGTCTCTTTTGCGGGGGAGAAAATTGCTCGTAATGGCAATGGTAATTATCGTGATTTGGGCTGTCGTGAATTCTACATAAATAATCATTAATTGAAGTAGCAGACGTTGGGCAAGCATGGGTGTATTCTCACAATATTACATATTTTTAATGCAATACTATGACTTTTTCTAAATAAATTACAGCTTTATTCTCATGTTATGACTTTTTCCCTCTCATTGCAACATTACAACTTTATTCTTGAAAATCTTGTTTTTTTCCCACTTCAATATGGCCCCAATACTCGATTGTAATTCATAAATATTTGTTTCAATGAACTAAAAGTTTTTTAATGGCTTACTTCTAAGTTTGTAAATTGTTGTTAAGTTCAAAGAAAATGCAAGTTTGATAAAAAAGTTCACAAAAGCCTCAAAACCAAGAACATAAAGAAAGCAGGCTGATCCGTCAGAAGCAGGGTGGACGTACTGAATACAGCTCTGTACTGCACATCCTGAAAAAAACTCAACTCCTCTCATACACAGGCCACGTTCACGCTCCTGTTATTACAGCATCACCTCACACACCTTTCAACTTGCTTCAAATGTTCAAAACCGTCTCATATTTTACATCCCGATATTAAAATAAAACCCTCTCAGATAATCAAATATAACAATCAAGTTTCATCCTCCTAAATAACTGAGCTGAAGGAAAGAACGGCAAGTTCACTGCCCCCCCACCTGATGCTATTTACAGACACACCACCATAGCTCAAAGTTGTCATAGAGACTGTTGGCATTAAATACAGTTATAGTACTCTGTCCTCACTGTTGCTAGGTAACAGAATATCAGTTCAACAGCCACTTGCGTACCACATGTTTAACAGCTTCATGCTGGCTTGTGCTTCAGGTTGATACAGTGGATCTTTCGCTCGCCGTCACTCAGGATGCTACAGTCTGAGTGAGTCTACTCACTCAGATAGGCACGCACACAGACACACACTAACGCTTACATACAAGTGAGAGGAAATCACTCCTCTATCATGAAGAAAATCGACAAAATGAAACAAAACATGACAAACTGAACGTTGTTCCCAAGTTGCATAAAAATATTTTTTTTGTTTGATTACAATGTGCATACTGCAAGGCTAGTGTGTTGCGATTAAAACTACAGTTTATTGACCGTGTCTGATGGATTTAAGTGTACGTCTGTGTACTCCACCAGCAGGTCTTGAAAAACCAGAATGAAAAACAATAAGTGATGTTTACTTGAGTGTGTTTTGTGTGTCTATGTGTGTGTCTGTGTGTGTCTGTGTGTGTGTGTGTGTGTGTGTGTGTGTGTGTGTGTGTGTGTGTGTGTGTGTGTGTGTGTGTGTGTGTGTGTGTGTGTGTGTGTGTGTGTGTGTGCATACAGTTCTGATACAGTACACACACACACATACTGGAGATATTTCCTCTCTGCCTCACTCTGAGAGAGATCAACTGACTCTACTTGGAAACATAAGAAGGCAAGAGTAGGAGAGTGGCTCTCCTCTCCATATCCACCTTATTACTCCTCCTCCTCCTCCTCTTCTTCTTCTTCCTCCTCCTCCTCCTCCTCCTCCTCCTCCTCGTCATCATCTTCATCATGGCAGTGAGTGATCTCTTGGGGGGTCTGGGGGAAAAGGTTGGGAGGTTTGATCTCGCTGAAGGAGCGGGTCAGCTGGTTGCGTTTGCACTCCATGTCCTTGCAGTCGTTGCAGTGGGTGCGGTTGCGCGTGGCCAGTGGCGACTCCATGTCGATGTCCACGTGGGTGTGTTCGACGGTCGACTCATGGGGCATCTAGGAGAGCAGAAAAGTGAAAGATTAAAAGCAAATACACATATATACGTATACATCTATGTCAGATGTCAATGCTGTAGTAGAGACATAGATGGCATGCTTCTAACAAATGTTGCACCTCCAACATTTCCAGTAGTTCCCCACAAGGCCTGTGAACACTTTAATGGAGGTTGTGGTATCTTGTCTAAACTTTGATGATTTAAGGCAGTGGCGGCTCCTTCCAAATTTCTCAGGGGGGCAATTGTTGCGATGATGTCTTACCGGTTTAATAGGTAAATTCATGAAGCTGTGTCGCTCCAGTCACTTTAACACTGAGTCCTGCTTTTCATGCCATGTCTAGTGTTGTACTGAGCACAAAATGTTGACGAGTCATTTTTCATGATGCTTAAATACAGTCTCATAAACTCTGGAGCAAATTAAACAAACATTAAGTTACTTCATGCACTGATCAGGTCCTGATAACTAGTGATGAGTGTTTAATAGTTAAAGTGAGGGCAGGAGAGAGGAGGAGGGCACAGAAACTCAGTACAACTGTTCTTCAACACAGTCTTCACGTTGTAATGCTCTGAGTGAGTGAGTGGAGGCGAAGCTCTTGGTATTTCACTCGATGACCTGATACGATGATAATTCAAAAAATTTACGTGAACGTTCATCATATATAAACTGATTCGTTCAATTTATTGTTCACCAAAAATATGAACGCTCCCTCTCGTCACATTCAGACCCTCACCAGTACATGTGCGGCCCGGAAGAGGTAGCTGAAGGGGTAGTACAGCAGATTGATGAAGGAGGCGGCGTACAGGTCGGCGTATCGCATCACTTGGGAGGCAAAGAGGGTCTGTCTGGAGCCACTGCGGAAAAGGCTACCCATCATGCCGTAGCACATGTCCATGTCGTGTGTCACTTTCTAAAAGGGGCAAGAGGGAGAAGAGAAGACACTGGTGAGCCTGCAGCATTATCACGATAACGTGTGTTTACCCACTTTTAAAAAGGATTTAGGAGCTTTACCCTGAACAGTACAGTGTGTTCTTATCAGGGGCGTTGGTGTCGTTATGTGATTGTATTTATTTCACCACACAGAAAATAATCACTGAAAACAGTATAAGTTGAAAGAACGGTTAATGATTAGACTATTGTAGACACAATGCAAATGTGGTCACTGATAACTAGGCCTGTTTGTGGCAGCCAGTGTTAAATACATGTGGACATGTTTCCGGTCGTCATAGAAACGAAGGTGATTAAGGTTGTACCTTGACTCTTCCCTGAAGAGCGCTGATGTCTGGCCTCTCGTTGCTGCTGCTGTCCAGATGTCTGAGGAAGGACGGGGGAGAGAAAGAAGATCCGGTCAGGAGAGAGGTTTGGGAGGGGGTGGGGAGAATGGAAATGATATCAGTCTGCTGAAAGGTAATATTTCAAGGAAGTGATGCAACAGCGAGGTGTGCCAGGGTTATAAATAACGTCAGTGAACTCAGTTATCGGCTGTGCAGGAGCCGACCCTCAGACTTTACCCTCAGACTTTACCCTATTCACCCTGTTCTCTCTTGCAGATATACGTGCTTGTGTGCATGCTGCAGAGAGCAGAACTGGTTCAAGAGACAGAGGTTGAGTAAGAGGGTGGGATACAGTGAATGGAGAGGGAAAGGGGGGGAGGGGGGTAAAGGTCACATTTCTTACTTGTAGAGTTCAGCCAAGAAAATGTCCAGGCCCTGCAGTTCTTCAAATAATGCTGGAAAACATGAGAAGAGGGTGAATCTCTGTCTCCTCATCGGATTTACAGTGCATATGCTATTTAGCTGTAGTCTGCTCATGTAAATGAGCGTGATCTGTGATGTGGTGAGAGATTGTTACAGAATCAGAGTTGAACTTGTTGTCAAATGAGGCTTATGTGTAACTTTAAAGAGATTTTTACACAAGGTCTGACGTTGCAGCTTCTGTTCTAGGTCAAGTCCCTGCTGAGTCAGTTTTCTGATGCACTGCGATTCTTGGAATAAGTCTGATGCAACTGCAAACACATGTGAACCCATCTGTACGTTCAGCCAAATTCTCATTTCGTGTCACTGTGTGTGTGTGTGTGTGTGTGTGTGTGTGTGTGTGTGTGTGAGTGAGTCTGAAATCTCACAGCTCTTGTCGGTCCACACGTGCAGTTCCTGGGCCAGTTCAGGTATGACCAGGAACGTCCTCCAGCCTTGACGTTTCTTGGACTTGAGGATGTCTCCGAAGATGTGGTCCCCGATGTACACAATGTCCTTCCCCTTGGCTCCAAGGAGGTCGCACACGATGTCTGACGAACCTAAGCGACATTTAAAGCTATTGCAGACAACTGATCGCTATGTCCCAAAGTGAATGACTGAAGCGAAAGATAATCTCACCTCCAGAATAGACTATCCCATGCTGCAGAGGTCCTGTGTAGGTTCCTATCTTCAGACGCCCTGATGTCTGAAATGAAGAAAACAAACAATTGTTAAAGGTAGCTTGGCCCTAACAGGGTCACCTTAATAAATGCAGCATTATGCTAAAACAAATATTTACATGTGGAAAGTGGGTTTTTTATGCCTTAAACATCTTTTGTGTTTTCCTGGGCAGTCTTTCATTGCTGAGCTGCAGTGGAGGGACAGTAACACAACCAGGTATTTTTTTACTGTGAATATCAACTTGATATTTTGAACACAGACGTCTGTAGCCTCTTATTAAAATGAATTAAATTCAGACTACACAGAACAATGTTTTGAAAATCGTTTTTTTCCAATATTATTTATTTCTTTGAATGCTCTTTTTTAATCTGTTTACTGTATTTTAGCATGTTTTTTTTTGAGTGTGAGTGTTACTTGTATTTAAAGTTAAAACGAGATGTTTTGTCTTAAAGGGAGTTAAGTGAAGGATAAATATGAATAAATGATAAACTTTGCAACAAAGTATTATTTTCGTTAAGATATTTTGGGGAAATTCAATTGACAGGACAGTAAAAGTGTGAAATGGAGAGAGAGACGTGCAGTAAAGGGCCTGGTCAGAACAGAACCTGTGGTCACTGCAGGAGGCCTCAAGATGTTGATGTTTCTGAGGCAATGTTTTTGCCACTTTACATAAATTTGGTCTTTTGTCAGATGCAAAAAAAAATCTATTTTCTACAAAAGATGTCAACACATGAAAAGAATATGGCCCATCCAGATACATCAGTGAGTGTTCACATGCGTTAGCTGTTAGAAACTTCTTCATCTCAGCTGCATGTTATGTTTCTGCTCACCGTGTCGACTTGTCTGAGCACGGTCCCCTCGCCAAAGAACAGCGGCTTCCTGGCGTCCACCAGGATCAGATCAAAGTACGACTTCCACGGTCGGTGGGAGGTACCAGGCTGTGGTGGATAGAAACACACACAGAAAAATCTATATATATGAAAGACATCTTTCACCTGCATTTTATCATTCAATACATTTCAAAGTGTGATCAAAGCAGAGGGAGAAAAAAAATCCATTTTACCTTGGGGCCATGAGGAAAGTCAAAAAGGTAGGTCATGATTTTCTGTGAGAACACAACACACAGAGAGTGTCAGTCAGTCAGTCAGTCTTAAATCGCTGTTTCTTTCAAAATGAATCAGGATCTATTATAAATCACCTAGTTGCTTGTGACACAACTGCACACACATACTCACTTCAGTGTATTTGTAGTCACTGTTGGTAGCCAAGAAAACCTTGGCTACTTCATTCATTCTGCTGAGGAGGAGAGGCAGCTTCCCCTGGAGGAAACAGAAAGAAGAAAAGACTGAAGCTCAAGGCGTCTTTACAACACCAGACCCTTCACAGAGTTCCACAACAATGTGTCATACACTGTGAGTGTGTTCTCATACATGCGTGTCCTTGAAGAATAAAAAATACTCACATCCCTCACTACATACTTCTCCAAGTTCTCAACCGTCTTCTCTTTCAGCGTACCCTTCAAAAAGAGACAGGGGTGTCAGACTTAACACTGTAAATATGTGTTTACTCAAACACTTCACCCACCCTTCCATCAGCATAGTGGTGAGTAGATAATGAGTGAATTTTCATTTTTCAGTGATCTACCCCTTTAAACTTTTTTAAAAACATTACTGAAGTTGTTTTCCAAACAACATAAATCAAAAAACTTTCATGAGCATTTTCATGCTCACTCAGATTATTACAGGTTGTGATTATATTGAGCAACACCGAGGTATGAAAGTGAAGCACATGTAATGTCCACACACTGGAATTAAAGTCACAACTATCGCTCAAGTCCTACCTTGAAGTGGACCCAGTCAACTGCATCGCGGACGTCCTGGAACATGCTCTTGTAGGACATGAAGAGGTCGCCATCTTTGAAGCCAGTTTCACAGCTGAGGGGGAGGAGCAAAGACACACACGTACACAGCCGTCGCACAGGCCACAACTTTACAGAAGGTTTTCAAAAGCATGACATTTGTTTTTTGTTTGCTTTTAAATGGGATAGCCTTCCCTTGTTGGAGGGGTCCCCAGCCAAACAGGAAAGCATTCTCCCCCTAAAAGACCAACAACCAGGTTTCAGAGGACAAAGGACATGCAGCCATTCCAGATTACATTATCAAAAAATGATTATATCTCCTCACAATACCATTTCAAAGATAATCTCTTCTTGATATCAGGATAAAATAATAGTTAGTGAAACCATTTTTTAAAAAATATTTCTGTCTCATTCTAATAAGAGTCCATGCTTTCCTACAATTAGTAGTGGCAGAGATGAATTAATCATTGTTAAGGAAAATGAAAATTAGACAGGTTGTCTGACATGTCTGCCTTTTAATTTCCATTTTTAATCAATTAGCTGAGATTAGCAGCTGAGACCCCTGCACCCTCCCATGCTGTAGGGCTCGCTCTTGACCCAGTTTGGTTTGCAACTGTCTTTGTGTCACCATGCGATGCCCAGAAACGTGTTGTGCCACAGATAATGTAACCAAGAGTTTTTCACCTTGTGTATCTGTCACAGTTGGAGAAAAAGTCCACGAGGCAGGCAAAGAGGTAGGTCTCTGTGAAGAACAATAAAAAGGTTCAGACATCATCATTTCTATAAGAGAAAGTTTTAATTTTTGATCAGTTTCATAGTGCACTGGATCCCAAGTCTATTTGGTCCTTGAGAATCATCATGTTATCACTAAGGCTAGGAAGCTGGCTCTTAAATACTATGAACAGCCCTTGTGTAACAATCTGCAGAAGCTTGTAAAATTAGATAAGCTAATCAGTCCTGATCACTTTAATTCCCTTTTGACTGACACAGAACAGTGTTCTGAATACATGTTTTCATTATGGGACATGGGCAAAGAAAGAACCCTTTACATTTTGGCGCAGATCGGTATCACAGTGAAACTTTTTATCACTTTCTTTAATGAGATAGGGCGTTCTTTTGACATTTTTAGCAATTCCCCAGGGATCAATTCATGGATTTTTACAAGTGTGTGCATTTTGTGAGCTCAAAAATTTAAATCTAGTGAATTTAAATGTGGTTTTATAAATGGACTGTTGGGCCTTAGCGGAAGCATGAACTCTGCTGAGTTCCATTCTAGTTTGTATAATTTGCTGATGTATACGGTAACTTTTGTGTGCCTTTGTATTATGTATGATTGTCCCTCCGTCTTTAAATCAAAGTTAGAAGTGATGTTGTGGCTTAATCAAACATATAAAGACCTTTCTTACTTATTTAATTTTTCTTTATCAGTCCCTTGGTGTTCTCAGTGTTCAGAGACCTTACCTGGCAGGTTGAAGAGTGTGTTAAGGATATAAAAGCGCTCTGTATCATCTCTCTGGATGAACTTGTTTGGGTACCGTTCACGTATCTCTGGGCTGCGAAAACACAAAACAAACGATAATAACAACATCTTTATGTAGACACTGTCAGAAAGAAATAAGTCAGTATTTATTCTTTACTGTCGCTTACCCTCGGAGGAAGTTGAATCCGTGGACACAAACCAGGATATTACCATAGGCATCTACCTTCAACAGGTTCCCATACATGGTATCAAACACAAGGCCCCTGAAAGTTGGAATAAAGACATGATTGTTTCAGTCCTTGAAACAAAATAAAAGTGACTCTCAATAAATCACAAGCTCTGGCATTTTATCTGCTGTAATTTGAGACATTTTTATTTTTATTTATTTTACTATCAGAATAGAGAGGTTTTAGTCTCAGAAGAAACTCAGAGTGGGACTATATATATCCCTTTAAGCAGGTGATGGGTTTTTTATGACAGTATGTCCTCTGAGGTTAGAGAGTAAGAGGGACTACAATGATTAGAGATGAGGCAACAGAAGCAGTTGTTTGACCTGGCAGCCATCATGGTGTCTGTGTTCTGTGGTGTGATTGGTCTGACCTGGTGGGAAAGGATGGGTCGTACACGAAGCTGAGCAGCTCCTGGGGGTAACCGATGGAGACCAGGCGCTCCACTGTGAGCTCGAAGCCCAGTGACTCGTACTCTGGTGACTTGTACACTAAAAATAAAAACACATTAACAACTATTGAGCAAATGTTTTGTTCTGCCTAGATACACATGGCATATTAATATTTGTTCATTGTCTTGCATCTGCATGAACTAATTAGACAATAGCAGTTTTTATAATCTAATAATTACATTGGCCTTCATTGGGCTAAAATAACAGTCTGACTTCAACTTTCAAATTTCACAACCTCCCCTTTTGTTCCTCCATTTTGTGACATTGTATAGAGATAATAACTGTAGGGTCTGGCAAGACTAATGTTGTTTTTCTATGAATAAATCTAGTTTAACAACAAATAAAACATTTTTTATAGAACATGTATAAAGTTAAGCAACATGAGCTGTGGGGGATACACAGCAGACAAACAGTCTGTGAACCACACTCATGTTACACAACATGTACATGTGACTTTTCAAAGGGAATCTCATCTACTTCAGACTATATGGGGTTGTCTCAGTATTCAGATAATGTGTTCTCACTCTCCAGTACCAACCAACCCCTCTCCTCAATGATAACCAGGGCAAAAACAGACTGATGCTAGGCTAAAAAAAGACTTGCAGAGGATTAAAATGCTATATGACACGGGGAAAAGGAACATGTCAGATGTTATAAATAAGCGACAGAGAATGCACTTGTGTTGTTGTCTGCTTTCTACACTCCCAGTGGGGTGGCAGGAGGCCCCTGGAGGAAAATATGATGTTTGGGTAGAGGACAGTTAGCTGGGGAATGGTACCGCAGGAAAATATCTGAGTCCTGATCTCTTCAAAATGTGAGAGCGTGCACTTGCTGGGATGTTGTTTGAATGCTGGATTAACCACAGAGGCAAGTTACAGGAAAATCTTGGCATCAGTAAATCTTTGTCCTTTTGTTGTCACCACTTCTCTGTGAGCTTGAGCTAGTTTCTGCATTACAGTCACGTAACCTCTTGCGGTTTAACCCCCCTTACCCCAACCCTAGCCCTCAAAACCCCCCCGCAGCCGTTGTCTCCTAGCAAACTGAGTATTTGGGCCCTTTGCCCAGAGCAGTAGCACACACCAACTAAATTTCTTCCTCCTCATCGCTCACTTGTCATATTCCTCTTGAAGCTCTGAGGCGCTACAAAGAAACCTATTTTAAGAGCTTCTCCGTCACCTTTGCTATCATCACTCTCTCTTTAGCTTGCTGGTTGGCTTTTTTCACTGCCTGACCTTGGGACACATGTAAAGTTCTCCCTCTCAAACCCAACGTAGGACATGTATGATCACATCTCAGTCTAAGTTATGTAAAAGTCAAGCTGCTCATTTAGGATCCGGAAGTTATTTTGCTACATAATAATAAACAAGACAAATATAAGGGGAAACCTTTAAAAAAAACATTAAAGCTCCTCACAATTGGTCTCAATGTTTTTCCATAACCTTAAATGTTCACATCTAAATAAGCCACAATAAACGTTTAAGTTTATGGTCAAAAACTGAACTAAAATGAGTGACCAACCTAAGCTAATTTTTTATAATCTTCAATGTTCACATCTAAATCTGTCTAAATAAACAACAATAAAAGCTTAAGTGAAAGTGATAATTGTTAGGAATTGTTTTAGTATCTTTAACTACATTTAAATAAAAACGCCTTTAAATCCACTCATATTCTTACATGTTTTTCTATAACCTAAAATATTTATTTAATATTCATTACCCAAACAATAAATATGTAAAAATAGAAGAAAATGCTTCAAAAAACAAATGTATTATTTATAAAATATTTGTCAGTATGTTTCATTACATCTATGTGGGTGTTTAATCAGATTTGATTGACAGCACTGCATTTCTAAATGAGCTCTGCCATAAAATATTGAATATTGAATAACTTACATACTGTTTACAAAACCACAAACCCCCCTCCACTGAAAACCTCCACACAGACACATGAGACCATGGCCTACAGTGGATCCTTTTCACACATAATTCTAGACGCCCCTCACTATTTCGAAGATTGGACTGCTTGAGCTGTAGTCCGTGGAGTGATTTGTAGATGTGTTTTTCCATGAAAGGCACACCAGAGGCAACAGTCATGGAGGTGCTATGCATTTGTAAACAAGACAACAAAGCAAATTCATCAACAAATGTCTAGAACATTTGTGTGAGCACTGCAAGTTGTGTTATCACTCATAGTGTGACAGCTTTCTCATGTGTCACACTGTCATGTTGCACACGTACATACATACAGACACACGCACGTAGTCACACACACACACGCACCCACGCAACCATCTACTTGGAGCTGAGGTGAGAAACAGCCTCAGCTCCAAGGATCTGTTACCTCTTGTATCCCTGATGAGATTATTGCCAGATAATTATACACTTACTGCTGGAGTGTGTGGCGTCTCCTTGGTTTAAGAGCCAGATAAGCTTGGGTTTACATGTAACACAAACCCATCACACACACAAGGTAAACAACCCCCACCCTTCTACTAGTAGACCACTAAATCCAAATCACAAAAATAGTCGCAGGCAGGGACGTTTTCTGAACCATGTCAAATAGCAACCTACATTAAAAAAGTAACACCTCAACTGTTAAATATGGGGCTTTGTCACAGATTCATGACACGATCTCGCATATCGCGGAGAAATGAGAAAACTCCCACTCTGCCCTGGGGATGTACATTCCAGCCAAAAGTCTGCTGGAAAACTAGGACAAAACTGCAATGTGGGCCTGAGTGTGTGTGTTTGAACTACATGTTCCTCTGACTGTTGTATGTTCCGTGTAGGACGACAAAAACACATGAGGCAATGTTGCCCACACAAAGTTGATTTAGATTACAAAGTCTTACAGATGTACGACATTTGTGACGGTGGCTGTTTTGGGGCGATGATTTTAGATCAATATTTTTTAAGATATGCGTCACAAAAAGACAGGTTGTTTGTTAACATTATGTCAAGTAGAAATGTATACATTTTGTATAAACTGGTCACTGGCAAATATGTCACAAAAGAAGATGCTGGTGTGGGATGATGATAACTATACTATAGGTACAGATGCATACTGTTGAAAAATACAAAACTACTAATGAAAAGTAAAAGTGAGGGAGGATTGTTTCTTTAACTTCTGCTAAATACTATGTAAGGAAAACATTTTTGAGTGCATACTGCATACTGTACTTTGCACATTTGAACCGTCTTTAACACCCTCTAAAAACAAATACTACGGCGCTGTGGTTAAGCAGCAGCCCTTCTCCATGAATCTTCCAGCTCCCTGGTCTTGAAGCAGGAAGCATTTGTGCGGTCAAAAACAGAACGCCCTCCAATGATACACGATAGCCACACTTCTAGCAAACATTAACACTTGGTTATGAGTCCCCATAAAGAGAACCATGTCAACAGCTGAGCGTCCGTAAAATCTCCTGCACTCTGAGGGTACGGGTACAGAGCCAGAGAGGGACTACAAGTGATCCCCGTTATCAAGGGAGCCATCATCAGTGGACTCAACAAACAAACGTGACCTGCTTTTCAAAGTGAGGCTAGATTTATTTATAGAGATGGAGAGACTGAAAGCTGCAGCTGAGTCACAGTACAAAGTGGCATGAAATAAAAAGAAGAAATCAGTATATTTCTGGCCTGGTTACTGGTCAGTAAGAAACAGATATCTGTGCAACTCTCTCTGTTTACCAGAGAGCTATGCTTCACATTCTGTAATCTGAGGGTTATAGTGTATTCAATATGTCATCACCACTGACCTAAATAACATTTTGTGGAAACAAGCTGTAGTTCTTGCGAGGTAGCCTGATAAAGAGCTGCAGAAGATGAGATCTGGTCGACTTTAATATCTATATTAAACTCACATCAGCAGAAACTCAACCACTAAAGATTTTGTTTTGATTATTACGATTGCAGTGGTAAACCAGCCACTAGGGATACTCTTTTGGGTAGTTCTAGTGCCGGTCCCAAGCCCGGATAAATGGGGAGGGTTGCGTCAGGAAGGGCATCCGGCGTAAAACTTGTGCCAAAACAAACATGCGGATCACAAATAGGAGGGGTAGTGGATATATTGGCAGATGATCCGCTACGGCGACCCCGAAAAGGGAGCAGCCGAAAGATGAAGAAGATTACGATTGCAGTGGTGACAAATCTGATAATAAAGTTTACAGAGAACTATGCCTTATCTGAGTGTTATAGTGTATTCAATATGTCACCAACATTGACCTAAATAACATTTTGTTGAAAATGAGACACAGTTCTGTGGGGGTGGCCTAATGAAAAGCTGCAACAGATGAGATACGGTCAAATTGGATCTACATTAAACTCAAAACATCATCAGCAGGCATTTATCAACAAAAGATATCTTTTGATTGTTACAATTCCAATGGTGACAAATCTGATTTTAAAAAGTCCTTCAATATGACCCTGACATTCACTACCAGTTTCTGATAAATTCAACTTTCTATTTCAATGCACCTCCATGGAGTGAAACATGATCATTTCTGAAAGTCTGCATTATTAATAAGAGCAGGAATTACAATCCATGTAAACTGAGGAGCTACTGTGCAACCCATATAGCTTTCATATGGAAACTCTACAGGTGAAGGTTCACATGACAATAATATGACAACAGGTTTTTTTTAATTATTAATAATAATAATAATAATAATAATAATAATACATGGAGAAATGTATTTCGTTGTTTAGTCAATCACATGTGAAAAATGTTAAAGTGATGTGTTAACATCAAAAGTCTGAAACCTGAGAGACGTTCAGTGATGAAGAAACAGTTTTGTTTTTAGCACCAGCGCTGATTGATTAGATGAGGTGGATCAACTTACCTGCTAAAGTATAATCCATGTCAAAGCCAAAGCACTTAATCTTCTCCATGGCCAAACTTCTGTTGACAAACACTCTGGACAAAACAAGTGAAGAACAATGTTTTAGGAGAAATTCAATCATCGACATTGAGGTTATTTACTAGAGCTGGATCACTTATACAGTGCGGCAGATGACGTGTAAATTAACCAAATAACCTACTGCTATCTAGTAGGTGATTTACACACAATAGGAACATGTAACATGTAAGAAATCTGAAATAAACACTAATCAATCGAAATAGAGACCCCAGTTAACTCTACTTGTTTAAGAAATTAGGTAGTGAGAGGCAGCTACAAGTAGAACTTGAGGGAAACATGAAGCTTATTTCAGACGACACTGACATGTGTTAACTAATACCTGAGGTTAGCTTGTTGAAATAATGAAATACTCTGCACACTTATGAAACTTTACATGTTACACAATGTAAGAGCATTTTAAAGCAACAACACATAAGTCAAACTATTGACAAATGTGTCATGTATGAGTGGCAGAGAATTGGAACTAAAATGGGAGCATGTGATTAGACAATGGTGCAGCTCTACAATGAACTTTAAGAAGTTGAAATCAATGAGTCATTTAAAACAACAGGCCTTCAGCATGGTGCTGGGTAAAACAACAGGATATGAACACAACTCTAAACTAGGGGACAGTAAAAACCCAACAACCTCAAGCAGAGCGTGACAATCTTCCAGGAAACAGCTCTACTGTCCTCACTCATAAATCAGTCATGACACTTGTGTCCACAGTAATAGTATTTACATACTCAGGTTGACTTTACTTTAATTCCACAGTAAAGATACACACACTGCTAAATTCACTTCGACTGCTGGAACAGACGCACGCAATTTATCTTCAACGTCTGTGACTGAGATGACTGTGGAGCTGTGTTCCTGAATATTTCCACACAAGTCAATATTTAGTCATGCCAGAAATAAGATGTAAATCAGCTGAAGGGAAATAAAAAGGAGGTCACAATGGAAAAAAACACACCCGCAACTAGCACAAAAATATGACACACAATCTCACAGCTCAAATGTCCGACACTGAGTGTGAGGCATCTTCTTGTTACCCTGTGACAATGACCTTCTCATCTTCTCTAAATCTAAAGTGCGTGATGAAATACCTGGCAGCAGATCCATAGTGAACAAGCTCCCATTTAGACCTTAGTCCAACTGACGACTGCCGATGCATTCTGTGTGAAATTAAACCTCAGTATGACTCTCCGCTGGTCCGACCTGCTCCAGTAACACAGGGTAGCTCTGGCCCACAAACAATGACACCCCAGCCATCCCTCTCTCTCTCCCCCTCTGCTTTCTTGCCATTCAGAAATTTTACTGACTTGTTGCAAAAATGATTGTGGCCATTCCACGTCATTCTCTGTTGTTGTGTGCTGTCACTCAGGGTTGCTGTTGTTGTTGTTGTTGTTGTTGTTGTGCAGCATGGTGTTTCCGGGCCCTCAAAGACATCCAGAACAATCACAAGTCACGTAGAATCAAGTGAGCCCCCGCCCTGAGCGACAGCTGCTCACATCACCAAACACTGCTGATGAGAGTGATGGGGCAGCGACCATCGGTTATTTTCATCATCGAGCAGAAGAGTGCTTGAGGATTAGCTTTTTTTGGGATGAATCTCATTAAGTCAGCAGATTTTCTCTTTCTATTTTCTTATTTTATATAATCTATTTTATGGAGGCAATAATAGACATTTAAATTACTATGAAATATATTTTAAAAGCACAGAACCTATGAATTTTTTACGGTGCATAAATTAAAATGTCCAGTATTCAAATTAGCATTTTCTAAATAAAGATTAAGTTTCTAAATTCAGACATCAAAATGTGTGCAGTGAATACACACTCAAGTATTTTTATTTAATTTTTTTCTCCACTTTATTCTCTCTTATATTTTCACATGTTGTCTTGTCTATCTCATTTTGACCTTCTGCTGTTGTAACATGAAAATTTGCCTGGCATTAAACTAATATAGTTTTCCTTATCTTAAGTTTGAGATGAAAACTTCAAACTCCACATATGAGCAGTCTATCTTTTATCTTAAACAATGTGACATTTGTCAACCATAAAATAAATGAAAAAATGATCCAAGAAAGTTCAAATGAGAGCACCTTTGAACCCAGTATTCTTGAATAAATTATAATTTATGTACTTCAAATAAAGTCTAGTTTATAATATTCTAGTCTAACAAAACTAGAATATTCAAATATTTCCATGGTGTCATTCAATATGGTTCAATGGTATTCAAATTCCAATATTAACTATTCAGATAATTTATGTTGTTATCAGCAACAGAAAATCAAACAAGAAAATCACATTATTCGTCCCTTATTTTGCTTCCACAGAGCAATGACTTCAAAGCTGACGTTCTCCTGAACAACCAAAAACAAATGTTCTTTACTGTCAACATTAATCAGTGCTAAGCGGGCACATGCCTTTTCCAGTGAGGGACTTAAATCCAAATCTTTTCTATTTTGTTGAGGTGTTGTCATGTCACATGTGACCTTAGGCTTGATGCCTGTGGGAGCAGTGGTAAAGGACAGCCATAAATGATAAGTATGTTCAAGCCTCTCCTAAGCTCACCAGTATTGACAGTAGGTGGGGATGACTTGTAGTCAGCCTTGACTTTGGTCCCTCTGATAACTCTATTGCCTCAAATAGCCAGCATGAGCCCCAGCACACCTTCAAGAGAATCCCTCATGACTTTCAGTCCCTCTGAGCACAGCTGGTGCCACAATCTAACAGATTTTTTCCACTGTGCTCTAATCTCACGCCAACAGTGACTCGGCTCCCTGTGATAGAAAGTTTATCTGTGCCAGGCAGAATCGTCAGCCCTCTGCTATGCGATACTCAGCCCTCATTATCAGGCTGCATTGCTCTAGCTGGGCTCTTATTTTGAAGGAATGGTATTAATCTGTGTGAGATAAACCAAAGGTCATCCCTATCATGCTCTTATGTAAAAAATAAATCAATTAAATAGATTAAATAGCTTCAGTGAAGTCCCTACTACTTTGTTCAAGCAAGCAGAAGATCCTTATAGTATATTTGTTATCTTCACACGTGTGATTGTGTCTGTCTTATGTCAGCACAGAGCTAACACATGAGCAACAGTTAACAGCCTATTATATATGACATTACAGTGTGGAAGAACAGCAGTACCCAGTGGACACAAATGACTGAGGTTGGGTTAAACATTAAAAAAACAACACACGTGTTACGACTGTGACAAGGAATAAATTCCTCCTGACATCAGCCTCTGTTGCTCCAGGGTGTTTCCAGTCAACAGACACAGAAAGATAGACATCTATTTATGCTAAGGCTCTCCCATTGTATGAGCTCACAAAACAACTCGATCCCTTGATTTCACCAGTCTGGTGACATTTTACCATGAGATTGAGGAGTTCTGCAAAACAGACTGACTATATGTGTATGACCTGCTTTGCCATCCAAATTCAATTTCACAGACCCAATAGAAATGGCCTATTGAGTGATTTGTGACACACAATGAGAGGAGTATGAGCTCTAAAGCTGCAGCTACATGAAGGCACAAACTGTATAAAAATAACCTATAATAACTGATGATTATAATAACAGTTCATGCCAGAAAAGTCAAAACTTCATTACACTCAAGTTATCTGTGACATTTCACCATCTACAATCCAAATTTGATCAAGAAACTCTGATCTCAGTGCCAAGATAAAGACAGATTCAAACATTCACTTGTGTTAATAAGTAGTCAGGTTTTGTAACATGGCGATTGAACCAAAGCCAACAAATGAGAACCCTTTCCATTCTGAGAGGTTCACTCAGTAAAATGAGGTTTTACCTTAGTGTCTATCACTTGCCCTCGTTACCTTCGTTGCATTCTCCAATAACAGAGCTCTGTTTCTTTTGCCAGGTAGAGTTTCCACAGCTATACTTTAGTTGTTCTGCCATCTGAAACTTCTGCTGACTGGTGAAAGCTACGTAACTACCACGAAGGCTGCACGATGGCAAATGCACTTCCTTTGTGCAAAGCCTTTATTTTCCTGTGAGTTTTCGTACCCGGTGGGAGACAGAATTGCTCAGTGAGACTAATAGGGAACTGAGGATGATGTTATGATTTGACAGCCATTTCATTGTGCAATCAAGATTCACATAATAACAGAAACATAATTTAGGCCTTGGATGATAGAAAATCATTGATTGTTTCTTATCATGATCTATGAAATATTTTATACTCAACAGCTATATTTTAGACATTGGGATGTGATGCATGACATTCACAAAAGTAAAATTGATTGGTCAAATCAAATCCGAGAATGAGACATTGCAAGGCTTTTGCTCAAGGCACATTATATATACGAAACAATCAGGAAGATTGAAGGAGATAATTGCTTTTGTTTAAGTTTATTTCTATCAAGACATGGGCATTTAGAAAGTTGAGAAAAGGTATGAGTAACAACATGTGCCATTATGTGGATATGAAAACACCTAAGGATATGAGATTTTGGTCATACCGCACAGCCCTATTCATAATTAGAAAAATGTGGACTATTGCCACATAAACAAAAAACACAGGAGCTGCCAAACCTGATTCAATTATGGCTTTGATGATGGCAGTTTTTGGTTTCAAAATGTATTTCTTCATGGTATGACAAGTATGCAAATGATTTAAGGCAATGTATTTTTTTTTTCCTGGCTGCACAAACTATGGTGTAAAATGCTAGTGTGTCCAGAGGCTACATTCACCACAAATGTCCTTCGCTACCACCTTCACATGTGTGTCTTACCTGTGGTAGGGCTCTCTCCTGTACTTCTTCATTGACAGCCTGTCCATGTTGGCAGGCAAGTCTGCATAATTCTGCAGTCTGTCACTCCATGAGGTGGTCATCTTTAAAAACTGTCAGTGTCTGAGGAGAAGGGACAGAATATCTTATCAACAACAATATAAACAACAGTTGAAAGGAGAGAAGTTATCTTTACTTATAAGAGGAACATTTTGTATAGAAGGAAAAAGAGTAACTGGATGACAAAACAACGTTCAACCTGTATGAACTGCTTTATCAGTTATTATTCAAATGAGTCCTCAGCGAGGATAGATGTACTGTCACAACACAATAATTCATGATAATCATCAGTCAATGCAGGATCTGGCTGTGGTCGTCCTCCAGCAGACAGAGGACATTAGGTGAGTGGAGAACAGAGCATAACAGGTCCAACCAGTGGGTTAATTTAAAAAAAACTACTAAGATCCACCCTTCTGTGTTATGCCAAAAACAACTTAACTCAAACAGGAATGTCAAAAAATAAAGGCCATGAGTAACTGTCAATCAATAGCCTGTGAAAAGATTTAATGTGATGGGTCATACTCGAAGGCAGAAAAAAAAAGATGAAATCCTTGTTTAGCTAAAGCATCATGTCACATGTGAACAAGCTTAAAACAACTGAGAATCTGTGAATCACTTGAATTTTTCCCTAAAGCCTAACGTTGGCCTTGTCTTTTTGAATGTTTTTCTTTCCTCCCATGCTGACATTGAACCACTCTGCCTCTGTCACTGGAGAGGCTGGGCTGCAGGAAGGAAAGGCAGAGGTCAGCTTTCTTGTTCTTTCAGTGCCAGCACAAATGTGAATGAGACTGGCAGGGGTGAGGCGAGGAGCTGTCAACAGGGGCCACAATGCGTCAGAGAACCAAACATTTTCTTCAGTGTAAACAGCAAACTTCATTATGTTTTTCACCTTCTGGACTAGTCCTGTGAGAACATTCTTTATTTAATTAATATTGTTATTTTTTATTAACATATTAGGACAGTGCTCATTGATCAACAGACAAAATAATATGAATGAGCAAGTGAGCTATTTAGGCTAATTTTCATCTGTTGTCCCCAGCCAGTGAAGTAAAATGACCTAAAAATATCTATATTATTGTAATGGGTGGTCATGCTTACATTTCTGTCACATGTTTAGTGTTTCTATTCTGCTATGATTGCATTTTATGTTTTTACTTGTGTTGAATTTTATTTTAAAACATAGTTTCAGTGTACCATATTCCCTGATTTTAGCTAATTCTATTCTCAATCGTTGTAAAGGGTGGTCATGCTTTAATTTCAGCCACATGCTGTGACTGTGGGTGAAGTGTTTTTATTCTTTTATGACTGTTTTTTGTGAACCACTTTAACTCTGTTTTGAGTGTCATATAAATAAAGGTATTATTATATCATTATTATCTATGGATAACTCATGTGGTCAGATCAATGAAATTCATCCAAGCTAACTGTATAACTAAAAACACTACACCCAATAGGGCCGGGATATAAAACACTATTGCAATATGAATTTAATTTGTAGCAATATAACAAATTATATTATACATTATATATATTGATGAAATACTCATGCATTGTGTGAGGCGATATAACACAGTAGCAACATCAGTGATCTGTCTCAGATTTATGAAATGTTTTTAAATGTTTGTCATTGTCAAACATGAAAAAGAACCTGTGGAAACTTTCAGTTGTCATAAAAACACAAAAGGTGTTTAGTTTGTCTGGTGTGAACACTGGTGGTAATGTAAATATAAAATATTTAAATATAAAGGGCCTTTTCTAAGGTGAAGAAAACAACAATTCGGACAATTTAGTTGAAACACACTGGTGAAAACAATCATGAGGATTCTTTTATATGAAATTTCTGCAAATAGATCCTCTCACATCAATCTGACACTCTGAACCTTGAAGTATGGGTCGGCTGGAAGATTCAGAGTTACACAATGAGAGAAGCTGCACTGCCACTGAGAGAACGGATTCAACACGACCTTTGAGCCTGGGGTCGGTCTCTGGAGACACTGGGTCCACGGGTATTGCGACGTATCTGTCTCTGCTCTCTACAGGATGTCGCTTGTGTGGCAGTTTGTTATCTGTGTCTGTGGGAAAACACACGAGCTGAGCAGCACTCCGGGGTTAGCTTGAGCTACGTGTTCAAGTGTCCCGACGAGCTAACGGCAGAACGCCTCGGTCCCAGCAGGGTTAGCAAACAAACAAGCAGCGCAGAGGTGTTAGCAGTCCGCTGCCTCACCGCTCACTGAGCGGAGGAGGAGGCTAACGGAGCTAGCTTAGTTTGAGCTAAACAAAACCCAAACAGTGCAGTGGGGATGGGAGGGGGGGGGGCTTTGAGTGACATTACTGTACTCACCTCTGAGCTCCGGAAAACTGCACCGTCTCTGAGTGTGAGCATGCGCCCGCAGCACGGGAGAGGAAGAGGAGGCAGGAGATAAAGACCTGAGGAGGATTGTTGTGAAGAGGAAGCTGCGGTGGAAAGCGACTGATGTGTAGGGTGTGAAAAGCAGGCAGCGGTGTGTCCCTGCCCTGTCTTCTCTCTCTCTCTCTCTCTCTCTCTATCCGTGTCTTTATGTCTGTGTCTGTGTCTCTGTCTGTCCTCTTCCTCTCTTTCTCTGTCTGTGTCTCTCTCTCTTTCTGCTGCCAGCTGTTGTTAAGAGACATTCAGGGGGCGGGGTTTTACCCCCCCACGTCTGTCACGAGGAGGCGGGACTGCTGGTCGTCGTCCGGGCCCATGTGACTCACCACGTCATCACATCTATGATAATAAACTTTAAAAACACAGTAACAAGGTGCTTTACAAGCAAAAGGAATTTTGGGGGGCAACCTATGGGAAACTGGTAAAAAATCAAGTGTAAGATCACAGAACTTTAGAGTACAAATAAATAATTTACAGATGAGAAAAGAGCAAAACAAGATCATATAAAATGTTTTAAATATTGGGTAGGATCAGGAGAAATGTGTTTGGTATCCTAATACTATTCAGATTTTTCAAAAATTGAGAAGGACTAGATTTAACTTATAATTTTTAAAGTATGAACGTAAACTACTCAATAACTTAACCCCAACCTGATATTAAACTGTTGACTATGCAGCCCACAAGTCTTTGGACACTCATGCACACCTCAAAGCAGGTCATTGAAAATGAAGGAGACTTTACAGAAAAGATTATGAGTCTGTGTATGATTTGAAGATCAACCATCTTCATAGGCTAAAACTCATGTTTTAGCTTGTCTGAATGGACAGCACAGTAAGAAAACAAACAAACAAATATATCAAATATATTTTACTCAAATCCAAGATATACTTTAGGTTAGTGCAAAAACATTCCAAAATCAATTCGGTCAAGGATGGAAAAAAACTCCATATCCCATTGTGATAAGTAACTGAGAAGAATCACTGCCTTTCAAACAAGGACAAAGTAGCAGAGAATGAAAAACCCTCATTTAATAATCCAAACATTTGTATTGTATGTTTCTCACATTCCACAGCAGAAAATTCAAAAATGAGTTTCATCTGAAAGGTGTGGACATCCAGTGTTTTTAACTGACACATGTAACTACCATGTTTACCTCTTCTGCCACAACTTTGTTTTCTTTGTCCTGAAGGACGACATCTCGTGGGCACTTGTGAGGCATCAGTGGCTCATTTTGAACATCATCATGTGTTTAGACAGGTATTGTCAGGCTTGTTTTAGCTCCTCAACCATGATACTCATGAAGGACATAGAAGAATAAAATAATCCAGTTGAGGCTTGACACCTGTCATGTCAGGCTTCATTTAATGTCGTGCAGAATGTACTGCTAGGGATGACACATTATTTTTCTATGTTACCGCAAACATTTCTTTGATTGGAAATAGTCCGATACATCTACAAATCGATGTATGTGCAGAGTATCATTCATACATTCATCAAAATGTTCTAAAGCTTTCAAATACTATAAATGAAGTACACATACAGTTTAGCCCCAGTAACCTTACACTTGAAATATTGGTGAATGCCTGGTGTGTATTGTGATCCGACGATAGAGGGCAGCAAAGACCAGTCAGTGGGAGGCTGTCTCTCAATAGGCTCTTTATCTAAACTCACTGTGCAACATACAAAACAAATAAATAGCAACCACTAAGGGTACTTCAAGATTTTACACCTTTTTTGTTTTAAATTTAATTGAGATAAAACATAAAATCGCTTCATAGAAATTGTGTAAATGTTGTTCGAAAAATTGATATTTTAAGGTAATGGTTTATACATCACGTTAGGCTAACAGATTATTCTAAATAGAAACAGATTCACATATCGCCATAAAAGCTGCAGATGTACAACATGTTTTGTGGATTGTGTCACTGAAGTGTTGCAAATATGTATGTATAAAAAAGCATTGACACAATAATAAAAAGCTTTGAGGAAAAGTGCATCATTCTCATTCTGCCAGAAATCAGCGTTGCCCTTGTGGCACATGTGACTCGATGTGAATGTAGATTTAAGTTGGGACAGGCAACTTTAAGAAATATTATTGCTGTGAAAATATTGGAAGTTAACTCGAGGTTATAGCCTATAAGCTATGTATTGTTTTATGTGCAACAAGCGACCAAACACCGACGCATCACCACTGCGCAAAATAGGACAGTTCCATCTGCTCCACACAAAGACCAGTGCCAACTGCGCACATCTGGACCATATGCCAGGATTAATGCAGTCTGGACTTCATATCATTCCTATCACCGTATTATTCATATATTCACACAAACAGTGGACTACCTGACCCATCTGGATCGGCTCGGTCCGGATGTTAGCAGTGGGCATTAATTAATTATTGGGTTGGTCCTCCTATAAAAAGGGCACACGCCCACTGCTCTGCTCTGTCTCAGTACACGCCAAGATGAGCTACGGATCTGATGTCTTCTCCTCCTCTTCCTACCGGAGGATTTTCGGGGATTCTCCCCGTTATGCATCTCCTTCGCGGACCACCATGAATGTTTCCTCCCGGGGAGGAGGTTACCGGTCCTCCTCTCTGTCCCGGAGCAACGCTTCATCCCTGGGCACGTACAGCAAAAAGTCCGGCCGCTCCTTCTCGTCCATGCCGCTGGAGACCTTCGACCTGACACAGAGCAGCGTCCTCAACAATGAGTTCAAAATCGTCCGCACCAACGAAAAGGAGCAAATGCAAGGCCTCAATGACCGCTTTGCAATGTTCATTGACAAAGTGCGCAACTTGGAGCAACACAACAAAGTGCTGGAGACGGAGCTGTTCGCTCTGCGCCAGAAGCAGGCAGAGCCGTCCCGCCTGGCCGAGCTCTACCAGCAGGAGATCCGCGAACTGCGCTCCCAGCTCGAAGAACTGAACGGAGAGAAGTCCCAGCTGATGATCGAGAGGGACAACATTGACGACGACCTGCAGAAAGTCAGGGGCAAATACGAGGAGGAGTTCCGTGCCCGGGAAGAGGCAGAGGCCCTGCTCAAAGCTTTTAAGAAAGATGTAGATGATGCCACCATGGTGCGCCTGGACCTGGAGAAGAAGGTGGAATCTCTTCTGGATGAGATCAACTTCCTTAGGAAGGTGCACGAGGAGGAGGTGGTCGAGCTGTCGGACATGATCCAGGCTGCCCAGGTGTCTGTGGAGATGGAGGTGTCCAAACCGGACCTCACCTCCGCCCTCAAAGAGATCCGCGGCCAGTACGAGTCCATGGCTTCCAAGAACCTGCAGTCCGCCGAGGAGTGGTACAAGACCAAGTTTGCGGACCTATCCGAGCAGGCCAACCGGAGCAACGAGGCCATCCGCAGCAGCAGGGAGGAGGTGAACGAGTTTAGGAGGCAGCTGCAGTCCAAGACTATCGAGATAGAGAGTCTGAGGGGAACCAACGAGTCTCTGGAAAGGCAGATGCGGGAGATGGAGGATAGGCACAATGTGGAGATGGGAACCTACCAGGTAATCACATTTCAATAACCTACTAACGCCATATTAAATGATTGTAATCTGGAAAAATCCGCCCTATATTTTCAGTATCATGAAAGTATATATGAGCATTAACAGCATTGTGTTTTTATGGAGAAGGATAGACTTTACATTTCAGAGCCATAATAAAATGGAGGAGCAGCTGCTGTGTCTCGGGCTCTGTCCGTGGTGCTGAAACTCCCTCCCCTGGGACAGCCCCGCTCAGCAGCTGCATCAGACAACGCCCACCGAGTGAAACTGCTGGAACTGAGTCATTCTATACAAGTGCTTTGTGTGGTGCAGGTTTACAAATATAAATATGAAGCACTTTTTAAACTATTTTAATCAGAAACGACCCTTATACGTACATTCACAATGTTTTCTTATGTGTTGCTGCATTTCCCCCTGCAAGCAGCGGTGAATAGCAGAGCTCCATATGCAGGTGAGTCCAAAATATATTTTAGGAAATGTTGAACTTATGGCTTATTGTCTGTAGGAGAGCATGGCAGAGCTGGAGAATGAGCTGCGGACCACTAAGGGCGAGATGGCCCGTCACCTGAGGGAGTACCAGGATCTGCTCAATGTCAAGATGGCACTGGATATTGAAATTGCAGCTTACAGGTAGGGTCATCTTTCAGAGATACCTCACATATATATTGTTTTCAATAATATGAGTGAGATATCCTTAAAAAAGAGGGAAAATTCACTCTCTCTTGTAAAATGACAATATCCCATATATACAGTACCCTCCGCTATGTATCTCATAGCTAATTCTTTCTATGAACACTTCCCTGTGTCACCCTCTTTGCAGGAAACTCCTGGAAGGGGAGGAGACCCGCATTGGGACAGGCATCAACTACAGCAGCCCCGCCATAGGTGCCAGCATGGGGCAAGGCTACAGCTACCAGTCCCGCATGTACACCAGCTCTAGCAAGAGCTCCAAGAAGGAGGGCAAGCAGGAGGAGCAGCAGCAGCAGCAGCAGCAGAGCAAATCTGGAGGCAAGGTGATCCAGCGTGAAGTTTATGAGGAGACGGTGGTCACCACCCAGAAGCAGCAAGACTCCAATGATGTTCCCACCATTCAGAAAAACTAAGAGTCATACTGTAAGCCTGTTCTCAACCCTGTATCCTGCAAATTCTCTCCTCTCTCCATCTTGAAACAAACCTTGAGCATTAACGTCTCACTCACTTGTGGGGATCTTAGTTGATAGCCATGCTTTGCCTTCTTATTATAAGCATAGTAAGATTGCCATGGTCTTTAACATATAGTGTTGGGTTGGTAGGTTTGTTTTAAGTTGGTTTATCCCCTCTTGTTACCCCGTCTCCCCACATGTGTTCTCCCAAAAGGAAATCCATTATAACTCTACTATAACCATCACTCTATACAATACCACATTTCAACAGTTTCTGCTGTTTACTCTTCCACAAACTAAACATCAAACAATAACAAGCACTTAGGTAGCAGTGACAAAATGTAACACCAACACACAATAGATAAAAACCTCTGGTCATGCACTACAACCACAAGCTGTGAGATGCTCTCAACACATTCCAATAGTAGCATGTGTGTTTGAGTGTAACTGTGCGCACAAAAGATTCAAAACACATCAGCTGGTATCCGTCCCTCTCCAAACAATCCTTTCATACAGTAGAAATAAAAACATCTCCTGAAACAATGATCATAGTTGAGTGAGAAAGCACACAATTATTGGAAACCTGCCAAAATAAAAGACAATAATATATGATAGCTTTTACTGAGCCATTGTGTTTGGTCTCTTTTTGTCTGTATCTCTTCTTGCACAATATTTCTTACCTCAGTCACTGCATCAGTGCTTTGTCTGGGTTTCTATCAGCTCTGCATGACAACAGTATAAAAGAGGATAATGCGAGCGATGACCCTTTTTTAAACTTCCCAATGAAGTTTAATTTAAAAAAGTTATTATAGCTTTTTAAATGAGATGAAGATTTGAGGTAAACAAGAAAACAAGTATATTGATGGAGCATAACTTGCATGGTGTATGTAGACCGCATTCTTGCATGGACTCCACCCACCCATCATTCAAAGTTTGGCCTTTGCCTTCCTTCTCACTATTGATCATAATGAGAATCATCATGCTCATTATCATTAATAACAGCAATAGAAATGTGCTTGTTAGCCCAGGCCAGATTTGAGACTGCTGCTATAAATCTTAGGACTGTGATGGACTGGTGATCTCCACTGTAAAGATAAGGAGGGATGCTATGCTTTAAGGCACTAATACGAGAATAGAAAAGACCTAATTTGGTAGTGATGGATTAGGAGAAAAAGAAAAGTTGAGCAAAAATACTAAAATACTATACTAAAAAAGAGTTTTCTCTGTGCAGTCAAGTCAATTAGACACTGAATTGGAAATTATGCTTTAGTGCAAATGCATGAGATTCTCTATGATCCATGTAGTTATGATGGACAGTTTGCATATTTAACTCCATTTCACATATGCTACTTATGATGCTTGAAACACATTAGAGCTCCAGGATCCATACTATATCATTTACCCTGAAGAAAATACATCCCAGTGTAAATTGAGAACCTGCCAGACTATGATGTGTTTGAAACAACTTGACCTCTCTCTTTGTAACTGTGGCCATGACTGCATTAAAACGCCTGTTGTAGTCCGATCTCACCGGTAGAAATCCTTAAGTATGAAAGACTTGTAGCTTGTTTTTCTGCTTGTGCACTGCCAACTCTTACACACTTATCTTACTGCTGGTCATCGCACGCACACACACACACACACACACACACACACACACACACACACACACACACACACACACACACACACACACACACACACACACAATGAATGAAAACAAAACAAACAGCTCATTGTTTTGCAGGCTGTTCTGAATCAGGTTGACTGCTGCTGTATTAGAGGCTTGTGATCAGTACCTTTGTGCAGTAGTAAGTGTGTTTGTATCTACACAGTGGCCTATCATACATGGATGTTTTGGCATTTTCTGTCAAGCAGAACAAAAATCTCAGAAGGACAAGAAGTTATAGACAAAAGCAGCATTTTATAGTAAACAGCTATAAGAATGGATGAATGGTTCAGGGTTGCAAATGTCTAAGCCTTTATCTTTCTATGACAAAACCAAAATAGTTTTCATGGATGTCTGCAGAAAAATGTAACTACTCCTACAACACTGCCAAACTTTTCAAAATGCACATGCAACACCACTTCATGCAGAACCAAGCATTTTCTGGAAATACAGTTCAGTATATCATCAATCTGAATCCAAGAAGCAAGACTTAGCCATAGAACAAATACTGTAGGATTTAAAAATGCCTTAAAACACCAGCAGCTTTTCCTCTGGCCATGTGTGTGAATCTGCTTAGTGGGTGTTTAATCATTATTATCTCTTGATTAGTGTCCATTAGAGCTATTATTGCTTCAAACGCATAGGGATTGAATGTAGATGTCATGCTATTCTATTTACTGTTATTACTACTTATGTATTCCTGTATGACACCATATTAATAAAGACTTGACGTTACTGAGGTGCACATGATTTCATTGTCTTTTTTAAAAAATCAATTTATCACACAATTTTAGAAAGCATGCCCTGTACTGGAAAGTGAGGAAAATATATTTACTATCATACAAACCAATACAGATATGGTATATGTGTGGTACTTCATACTTCTACACATACATAATCTGCAGCAAATGAAAAGGCAATTTATCAGTTGTTCAGAGCCAATATCGAGACATGAGATTGGGAAAAGGGTTTTGCAGCTTTATCTGTAAAAGTAAATAGTGTTGCGGACCAGAATAGGCCAAACAGCAATGTCACCTTGACCTGTTTCTTGAAAATATATTGTTTTTTTCTGTTGCTCCTCAGGGCCACTGTTGCAGATGTATATTACAGATGTGAGATGTGATGGATCACCTGCTGCTGTACTGTACGTTGACCTTTATACCCTCACCATTGCTCCATACACTTTAAACACACACACAGAGTCCCTGGCCTTGACACCTTGGGCCTCGCGGATCGTCTCTAATTACCCCATCTCTGTTCTCGCCCACCAACTGGGTGGGACAGCCTCGGCACTGTGTGTGCATGTGTGACGTGGGTTGCAGTTCTTCAAAGATTTATACCCCTGCAATGCTGCTGAGTTGAAGGTGCAGTGGAGCCATCCACTGAAACGCCACCACTGTAACAGCCCCGTTATGAAACAGCCCTCCCTCCATTTGAAGAGTGCTTCAACTTTCCATTTTAAGTCTCACCATAGCTACCATTCCTGTTATGAGGCTATAAAAACATGAGTAGCACTGTGTGAAATATTGACTCCTATAAGAAATCATGTCCAATCTGGGATTCATTTGAAATTCATATCTAGTGAAAGCTATCAGAGCTTGTGCAGCCTTCAGTCCCAGTGCAATCAGCATATGCACAGTTGGCTGACTATACTCAAGTGCATTGTTCTACAATTATCGCACACGTTCTTGTTTTATCATACTTAGAGTGTTGTGTAAAATGGTTCATGGTATAAAGGAAAGATTAAAGAACAAACTGCCTTCAAATGTATAGACAGAAAGAATGTTTCAAGCTTTGTTTTACCCCAACATGTAACCTGGCATATTTGGTATCTTTTGGAATATTGGAAACTCTCCTGTAATCTAAAAAGGATGCATGAAATTAGTTTGTAATATCTGGCCACTAGAGAGGTTAATAAATATCTGTACATTAGTGCATCATACTCACTGAGGCAATACTTCCATTTCATGTCTTTTCAGAGATAAAGGAGACGGTGTTAAGGGAGAAGCATGTTTTATGTTCTGTCTGGTGATAAGTGTCTATGTGGAGCGGTGATGGTGGTGGAATTGAGAATCAGGCAGTGGAGTGAGCGGCTCATGGCCATAAATTTGATCTGTTTGTCAGCATCTGTGGATCAAAGCAATTCCTCGTACTCACTGGACCACCCACACACACGCACACGTACACATTTATTATACAACCAGAAAAAAAGGTGTGAAAATGTCATTCCCTGAACAAGAGATAATGCAATTCAGTTTTCACCTTCTTCAAAGCGTCTTTGAGTTTTCAGATGTGTTCAGACAAAACGCAACGTGAACTTTACACAAAGCAAGATCGCATGTTAAGTCGATAGATCGAACTGACGTCATGGCTGCAAGATTGGGGGGTATGTGTGGGAGGCGTATGTGGTTCTTCTCTAGTAATAATGTAACATTAACCATAACCAGCAAAGGCCTAAAAATGTGGTGAAGTATTTGAAATTGGAATAAAAAACAACGACACAATGTCCAATAAACAACTGAGGTTTCTTGAAAGATGTTAAAACACACAAAGCTAGCAGTGTGCAACAAGCAGTTTCTAAGACCCTTTGACGCATCAACTAACTGCTCATTAAACCAACTTCTTGTTTTCTACATCAAAGATGAAATGTGGAAATATAACTTTATTCTAAATATGTGTTAGTGCTATGGCAAGCACTGGTCTCTGTACCGCAGGCGTTCAGTGAAAAACCTTAATGATATTCAGCCAGATTTGCAGAATGTCAAATTTTATTGTCTTAAATGCACACAAATGAAAATCATTTTCTATGGAGTTTGGAATCATCCTATCATCTGACTAAATGACTGGTATACTGTAGCTCAGTCTTTGTTAATTTGTGAGTTAAATGCTGCTGTTGCCGTGGCATCTGTTGCTAGCATCCTGCTGAGCTGCAGCCTTGGGGGATGACCTCTCTCAGTGGTTTGCTCTCGTCCAGACAGACAAACAGACAGAGAGGTCTGAAGAGAGGACATTAATGAGACATTTATATTGATACAGAGATTAATACACAGCTATAGACACTTAAGTGTATAAGAGAAAATTGGATGAGCTTAATTGGGGCTGCAACCACAAAAAATATTTTGGTTAGAATAATAGCTATGTGGTGAGACATGAATGTGTTTAATGGAGTATTCACCATGACAACCGTTTCCTTGCCTGGCTGAAGGTGCTGAATCATTTTGAGGTGTGACGTGTCAAGTCTCTATTAACCAAGCCAGGTTTTTTTTCTCTTTCTCTGGCAGCTAATAATAGCCGAGACAGAGCCAGCAGAGCCAGAGAGACAGAATGAGGAAAGATGTTATTCCTTGAACAAAGAGGAAGGTCATATCCTCCTGCCTGACCTCCCTCTCAGCTTGTCTGAGGATGAATGAAGTGGTATTGAGGGTTTTTAACCAGAGAAATAAAATCATGTTGTTATCTGGAGAGTCCATCTCACTAATCAGAAAATGGAGAGGACTATGTTCTTCATTTGTTTCAAATATTGAGGAGGATTTGAAAGAGTAAAGATTATTCGACTTGTCTAGTCTAGATGTGCTGCATGTTTTTCTTATGCTTATGCTCACAAAAGAGTTTAACTTGATGTGAAACTTGATCAACATTTTTGACAAATTTCTTAAATGGTCACACATAAGTACTCTGGTTTGCACAGTTGTATTTTGAAGAGGACACCTGAATGAAGGCAGGACGTTTAAAAAAGTAGGAAGGCAGGAAGTTTTTTGTTTCCTACCAGGGGACAATAAGAGATTGGAAAAAGAGTAACTACAAATATTTAAATTTGCCTTTTTTCCTACAAACACCTATATTTGTTTGTTGAGTGCATACCCAAGATTAATCCCTGCTGTCTTTTTAGAATTGCATGTCAGTCAAATATTTTTTATAAACATTTCTGACATGCAGACACCATCTATAGAGAAGTTAGTATCTATATCTTTTTAATAAGTATGCTTGACTTTCAGAGTTTTTGAACACAAGACCATTTTCTAAACGAACAACTGTAGCAAAGCAGCAGTATTTAATTGTGCTTAACTCATGAATCAGAAAAATTTGAAAACAACTCTAAAGAGTTCATTCAGTAATATTCTGTAAAAATACATACACAAGCATTATGCAACAATACTTCAAAACACATATAACCTTAATGTGTGAGCTTATAAGAAGGCCACGAATAGGTTTAGTTAGAGCAGTGTTTCACATTACAATAAGCAGGCTGCCAGAGATGTTATACACATACTATATTTAAAACACATCACACCAGCACTCTTTTTTCATGAGGTGGAATCTTATTCCTTCTGTAGGTGTGGAAAAGTGAGAATAATCACTTCCTCCAGTGATTAAACACCTGATGAAATGTTCAAAAGTGGGTATTTTTAAGTTGTGTCTACACGAGGAGCTGCACTGCATGCACTGTGTCAACGGGGAGATAAATCTGGTCTATAATGAAGAACAAATCATGCCCTTTGGAAGTTTTAAACCATTTGAGAATATTTTGGAAAATCTTGAGATTTTGTTGACTTCTTCAGGCCTTCACTCTGTAGATAGAAATATTTTTGATATACCTCTCATTTCTATTAGCATTTTATTGATTTTCCACTTAGTCCACTGCACATTTATTTACATCACATATTGAAAACAATATATAGCAACTTTTTACATAATTTAGGAGAATTGGTAGTCCAACATAAAATAAACAACCTCACTTGTTGTATTATGACAAATTGGCATTATAGCATTCTTAAAACGTTTGTGATGATCCTAATTTGAAGTTGTAAATCTGTGCTTGACATAAGTTCATAATACTCACCTGATACACATTAACTGATATTACTGTCAAACCTTTGCAGGGGAGAAGTGCTGTTTGGGCCCTATTCAGATGGGACTCATTATTTTTGGAGGAAGCCAGGGAGAGCACAGGAGTGCAGCAAAACAAGTTCAACCTACAGGGATGTGTCTTTACAGTAATACTGTGCAGCAGTGAGCAACCACTGACAGTATTAACATGCGCAATCTGAAATCAAACTCACAATGAAAGATTCATTTTGTTTTATAAGCCTATAGCATGAAAATATCCTCATAAAACATTAGCTAATTTCAGAAATACACTTTATATAGCAGCTCAAGGCTGGACTATGACATCTATATTCTTCAACAAGTAAAGGGCAGAATCAGAGTGACATAATAAACTGTACTAATCGCATCGTTATCATCTCCTGTCATGTCAAAGGCACTCTTGATATATACAGTATAAAGATAATCTTTAGACAAACATGTGTATCTAAGGATCACAATGTACCATTGAGTTGTAAAATGTTCCCTCAGCTGTTTGGGGAGAGGGATGTGTCTGCTGCCACTGCCTAATCCATGATAGAGCAGCTGAGCCCAGCCACAGCTTTCTTTTCAGCATCCTGCCTGCACACTATGACACAGCGTTTTGAGAGGGAGAACAAAAGGAAGCTCAGCCTGATGTTGAAAAGATTCTTTTCTCAAGGTACCATGAGGGATAAAACCCTCACTCTAAGCTGCTATAAGGACAGTAGGAGTAGTGAGAGTGTCAAGCGGAATAGTTAATGATCAGAAGCTGAAAGCTTAGAGTGAGGGCAATGTCTCTGATTTGAGATGATTCTGATTTCAACGATCAATGCTGAGAATTCCCCCTTCCTCTAATGTTCTAGCTCTGCTGACAGATACATTCTAAACAGCAGAACGATT